CCCGTAACCCCTCCCCGCGCCCCGCACAGCTCACACGCCCTCGCGGCCCGCAGAGCTCCTCTCCCGCGCGACTCGCGCCCTGCCGCGCCCTGCCCGCGGGGTGCCACTGCTGGGGTCCCCATCTCTTGTTTATTCGTGGCCCCCTCTCCATCCTGCCCTCTCCCAGCACTCTCGGAGCAGCCGAGATGGAGAACTTCCTCTCTGCACCTGGTCCGAACTGTGCCAAGGTGGGAGAAAGGGAGGGGCGTCTGGGTGGGAGGAGGGGATGCTGGTGAAAGAAATGGGAATTTAGGCCAATTCAGAGAGCACATGAATATAATCGCTCAACGCGCATAATGAGCTCCTACTGTGGGCCTGGTCTAGCGCTGGGTGTTTGCCCGGATGGGGGTGTCATGGAGTTAAGACATTCGTTCAAAGCGTTCATTCACTCCTTCATTCATTCTCTACTGGGAGAGAGAGACAACAGGTACCCAACACTAGACCAACAGGAGGCAGAATGGCAGGCATCGACCGACGGTTATGGGGGTTCTTCGCAGCACATTTCAGAACCTTGATAACCCCCCTCTCCCCATCAGTTCGCCCCTTGCCAGTGGTAAAGGTAAATCCCTGCCTCCTGGGCCTGAGGGAGACAGAGAGGCCAAGAAATAGCCAGCCATCCCCAGCCCCCAAATACACACCAGCACAGGCATATACTAAGTGGACACCTCCCCTAATACTTGCAGGTACCAGGATATTATTGTTACATATCTTAATTATTGACAGTCTAATAAATGTAAAATGATGGCTCGTGAACCTAATATCATTTACCTAAGAGCTGAGGAGGTTGAACATCCTTCATATGTTCATTCCCCATGGTGGTTTTGGTTTGTTTTTTTTTTTTTCCGAAAAAAAAAAAAAAAGCCTGCTCATGACTTTTGCCCCTTTTTCTCTTCAGTTGAATTTTTCTGACTAATTTTTAGGAGTCTTGTGTATATTAGAGACCACTTCTTTGCCAGTTATATCAGTTACAGATATTTTCTCCGGGTATGCAACTTCTTCCCTCCCTTCCTTCCTTCCTTTTTCTCCCTTCCTTCCTTCCTCCCTCCCTCCTCCCCTTCTCTCTTTTCTCTCTCTCTCTCTCTGGCTTTTGATGAATAGCAGTTTGTAATTGCAATGTAGTCAAATGTATCAATCTCCAATCTTTTGCCTTTATGGTTAGTGCTTTCTGTGACTTGTCTGTTCCTATGAAAGATCATAAAGATATTCTCTCTTTTTTCTGACAAGACTTAAAGTTTTTCCTTTAACGTTTAAGTCTCTCAACCACCTGGAACTGATTTCTGTATAGGATGCAAAGCAGGGATCCAACTTAATTTTTTCCATGTGGATAATGTGTTGTCTCCGTAATATTTGTTGACTTGCTCAGCTGGTGGCTAACGTGCAGTGTCACCCCTGTCATATATCAGTCTGCATGTAAGCAGGAGTCTGGTTCTGGTCTCCCTGCTCTCTTTTGATCTCGTTGCCCAACCCCTCTGCCAATATCACACTGCTCTAATTACAGTCGTTTATTACGACTGTTTATACCTTTCCCTCGTACATTCTTTGGGTCTCGGTTCAAATACCACTTCTTCCTTAGAGATGCCTGATCGAATCCCCCAATTTAAGTAGATGTACATTATATTCTATTCATGGCTTTTACTTCAGTTTGTAATTATACATCCTGTATGTTTAATTGTTAAATGGCTGATTCTCACATTAGTCTAGATGTTCCATTATGGCAGAGATGTTGTTTTTCCAGGGCTGAACACAGTGACTGTCACACAGAGAACATTCAATAAATAGATAACAAATGAATGAATGAATTCCTCTCTGCCCTGCCACATTTAGCACACTGCCTGGCACACGATAGATCCTCCAGAAATGCTCAAGAGAAGAACAGTCGTTTCTGTCAGTGTCCCCTTTTTTGCTTAATTTGTCTTCATAAAACATGTCAGCAGATGACATACTATGTATATTATCTACTTGCTTACGCTTTCCCTCTACTACGATGTAAGCTCCATGAGGCCAAGACTTGCTGTGTTTTTGGTTTGGTTTTGTTTTTTTTAAGATTTTACTTATTTAGTTGACAAGAGAGCAAGAGAGCACAAGCAGGGGGAGCAGCAGAGGGAGAAGGAGAAGCAGGCTCCCAGCTGACCAAGGACCCTGATGCGGGGCTCGATCCCAGGACGCTAGGATCGTGCCCTGAGCCAAAGGCAGATGCTTAACTGACTGAGCCACCCAGGTGCCCCGGGACTTGCTCTGTTTTAACTCCTGTTGTTTCCCAGGCCTCAGAATAGTGCCTGGCAATTGGTAGATGCTCAATAAATATTTAATGAATGAATGAATGGGTGAATGAAGAATGAACTTAATTTTCTCCCTCCGGTTCAATCAACTCTTTCTTTTTGGCTTTGGAATCATTGGGCACCTCCGTTTTTCCTGTGGCTCTCTGAGCAGTTGCCTCTACCCCCCATTCTCCCTTCTCTTTTTCCCTCCGTGTGACCAGAGAGGTAGCGGCCCATCCCCCTTTGTTACCCTTCGAGCAGGATAAGAGGCAGGCATTTGTCTGGGCTCCCAGTAATTCTGAGAAGGCAATGCTTGCCCTCTCTCCTCAGCACCCCTGCACACTCTAGATGCGCCCCTTGCATGCCCACGTTCTGCCTGGTTTGGCTCATCTTTTACTCCTCTCCTGAAATAGACCGTGAGCACACGTCTCACTCTCTACATCTGCGGCTTGGTAATAGGGCCTGGCAAAGAGGAGGCGCTCAGCAAGTGTTTGCTGAAAAAAGAGAGAATGAGTATCTGCTGTCACTGTTTTAGGATGTATGAGACTCTGCCCCACAAGACAGCTTCTCAAGAGAGGGGGCCAGCCGCCCTCACTGCTGAGACTCCCTGGGGGGACTGATGCTGTTGCCAAGTCAAAGCTCCCTGAGCCTTTGCTCTCTAAACAGTGTCTGGGCTGCTGTGGGCTTTTCATTAGCTTTTTGACCTTGAAAATGATTTCTTTCCATTTCGCCTCTGAACAAATGACCACCTCTGAGGTTCTAGCTATTAAGCCTACATTGTGGTAGGTTGGATAATGACCTTCCCCAAATAGGCCCACATCCTAAATCCCAGAACCCATGAATACTGCCTTATGTGGCAGAAGGGGCTTTGTTGCTGTGAGTGACCTAAAGATCTTGAGAGGGGGAGACTATCCTGGGTTGTCCGGCTGGGCCCACTGTAATCACAATATTCCGTACAAGAGGGACGCCGGAGGAGACCAGAAGGCAATACGATGCCCGACGCAGCACGTGGAATGACCATCTTGAAGATGGAGGGAGGGGCCACAAACCAAGGAATGCAGGTAGCCACTGAAGCGGAAAACGGCAAGAGAAAGGATTTCTCCTAAGAGCCTTTGGAAGAGACCAGCCCTGCCGATACCTTGACGTTAGCCCGCTGTGAAACTGATTTTACACTTCTGGCTTCCAAAACAGTAAGAGACTAATACATTTGTGCTGCTTAAAGACAGCAAAGTTGTGGTAATTCATGATAGCGGCAATGGGAAACTAATACACTAAATGAACTATTATTTTTGTCTCATCGGGCTTGTTTCTTTATACTTGGCTTTATTCCAGAAACAGCTTTCCTGGGATTTGGATCAGAAAAGCCAGGAAGTGCTCCTCCCCTCTGGTGCCTGATGTTCTTGTTGCTCTGTGTGACTCCTTTCTCCTGCAAACCACCTCCCTCAGCAGCCTCCACGCTGCTGCTGGCCCTGTCCTCAGCTCGTTTTCCCTGCCAGGCCCCGTGAGCAGCCCATCCACTCCATCCCTTCCTCCTCAGCCTGGCTCTGGCCTGTCCTTTGGGCATTGTGCACAAATTCATCCTGAACAAAGGGTCCCAGCAGCCCAGTCCAGGCTTGGGGATTGTCCTCAGCTTGACTGGGCTGAGCGTTATGAGAGAACACTGATGGAACACCTCACCCACTCCAAGCACCCAATGCCATGACCAAGGTAAAACCTTGCTTGAATTGGAGTTTCCTTGGTTTTCCTCTTCAAGGATTTTAAGCTAGAGTGTATTGATACCACCTGATCAGAATTCCCCACTGTGCCCTACAGGTGGGCAGAGAGTGATAGTAACACTTTGCTTTCTGGATCAGCTTCAACCTCGATTTGTATAACAGAAATATGGCAAGGGAGACCTTGCACGCACCTGGTAATCGGGGGCTGACATGGGCTGATGGAGTAAGACTGTATAAAGGTAAGAGTCTTTTTTTTTTTAGTTCAGTTATCCAACATAAAGTACATCATTAGTTTTTGGTGTAGTGTTCAACGATTCATTAGCTGCATGTAACACCCAGTGCTCATCACATCACGTGCCCTCCTTAATGTCCATCACCCAGTTACCCCATCCCCTACCCCCCTCCCTTCTGTAAGAGTCTTGAGACACCGGGAATGGGCAGAATTTGCAGAAACAGTGTCAATGTCTTCATCTGTAAAATTAGGGTCA